CTCCTGGTTAGGTCATTGTTAGCTTTTTGACTTTGTACTTTTTCTGTTTCACGCATGCACATATATTTAACTATATTTGTAATATGTCTCTACACTGTACTTAATGTCAGTTTATGAGAATAAATTCATTGTCATTGTCATTGCATTGATTTTCTGTAAAAATACAGGTAATGAGAATAAATTGCACTTGAATATATATATATATATAGAAAGTTTTTTAGGATGTAGTGATATTTTCATTTTTCATATAAAGTTTTACTAATAAAATTCTTTTAATATGAACATATATATATTTAATAAATTTTAATCTGACTGTAACAAGATAATGTCTTTAACATTAAAGTTATTTCTAAACACCTTTGCTTGATGTAAATTGCTTTGATAAGACTGAAGGGGATATGTTGCTTATTGTTAAATGCTATCAAAACATGGATATCCATAGAAATATCTGTGTATATACACATGTACATGGATGATGATAAGTGTCAATGGTATTCCAGTTTTATAAAAATGCACAATATAGTAATTGGAAAAATTCGACTACTTATAACATTTTTTTTCACTTTTATCATCATATTGCACATTTGCATTCTAGTCACACAAATGTAATCAGATATTGTTTTACACTTCGGAAATTCTTTTTTGACAATTAATGTTTTTTTTTGGCAACACTAATTTTTTTATCATTTTTTTTTATATCATTTTTTTAAACATCAACCATAATCATAACTTGATTATACAAAAGTTACTATATAGTCCACATTTAAAGCTCAATACATTGAATATTATGAGGAAAGTCTTTATTGTCAACATAAAGCATTTATTAGATATTTGGCAGGTATTTAGACACTATCTAAAGACATATTCATTTTTTGTATATCATGAATGAAATACTTCTTAAACTTAACTAACTTCCTAAACTTAACTAAACTAAAATATTTCAAGCAAACTTTTCTATTATTGCATTATACATGTACACAGGTCATCATAAAATATATATTTAATTACTAATACACACTCTGAGACAATTTACCCAATCTAATTCAGTTTTTTAATTCTTAATACAAACTTGCCATAAGAAGATACTTATAGTCAAATACTATGGTGTAATAATTCAGTTTGACAAATTTCAAATTTTATTTTTAAGCATTTGGAATTCAATTACTAACACTAAAACAATTTCTATTATTAATAAAAATAATACATACCCGTATTGCACACTCTATGTTGCCATAAGCTGCAACTGTCACATTGGAGGGCATGCTGTCTGGTAGACACCTTCCGCGAACACACAACGCACTCGTCGGAACCCATTTCGAAAATGAATAAAATTTCTTTGGTACCATTCTAATTTCTAGCATCGCAAAAAAAAAAAAATCTCCTTTGATAAGCAATTATTAACATGCATCAAAGCGGCTATAGGGTGGACAGAGCAACCAATTACATCTGCGTAACAAGTATATTGTTGAAACAACAGTACACTTTTACATTATAATAATTATAATAATTATATTGAGAATCTAATAGGTTATTCAATTAAATTTTGATTGAAAGTCAAAAATAACACAAGCGGTATATTTCAATTTGTAAAATCATCACCAAAGCAAAACTTTTTGTTTGTAATACATTGTAATACATTAAAAACATCTTTTAAAAATATACAATTTCATTAAATATATATATATATATTTCTTTAAATTCATTACAAATATTCTATTCTATATGTATAGGCCGAGTCCGTAATAGGCCGAGATCGAAATAGGCCGAGTAAGTTATAGTCCGACTCTGTTATAGTCCGACATCTCTAGTACCCATTTCAATTATATATAAGTAAGTCGCGCATGGATCAATTCGATATAAATTGAGCATATGGGCATTTATATGTGGTGTTCTAGATAGAGGGTCTGTTATTCTAAAGATGTGTGAAGTGAGAGGGTTTGAACCCTCATAAATTTTACAGGGGGAGAGGCATATTAGAAAACGAATGTAAATGGTCGTAAATTTCATTGTTTAATTTGTCTCAATGAATGAACATGAAAATGTTAACTGAGTTTTTAGACAGCAAACTTTGACCAAATGGCTATCTAGAGTGACCCCGTGGCGAATTTTAGAGGGTGTTATAGGGGGTGGCAACCCCTTCCCCTTTTGATTGTTGTTTCTGCAAACGTTTGAGGTTGGAGGTGATGGATCGAGAAAGAACGAGTTGTGTATATATAGAAATAGAATTTTTGGATTAATCGGACCTTGTTTAGCATTAAAATTGTGAAATGGAATCGTTCAAAAATTCCTATTTATCCTGAGTACACATGGAATAAACAATCAAAATAAGAGATTTTTTTTTCAATACTGTCTTAACTGAAATAAATTGTATCAAATTAAACAAGCAAATTCAAAGAATTGTGGTCCCTCGCTTTCGGTGTCTTAGTGGATGGGATGCCATTATTTACTGATGGCATATTGTAACTGTTTTGTTTGTGTGTCCTGTCTTGTCTGTGCATTATACAAAAAGACATAAATTATTGAATTAGTAACAGTTATGGCAAAAGATTATAGCTTCTCAAAACTACATCAAACTTCATGATCAAGGTCATGAGGTCAAATATCATCATAAAATCCGTATACATATATGATATAAAAACCCTATCTTTTCTCATTCAAAAGAAATGACCAATTTAATGCAATGTTAAAATTTTTCATTAGTAGGTCAAATTTCAAGGTCAAGGTCACGGGGGCCAAAATTCATAGTATATTTTGAAAGGTCTTGTCACAGATAACGTCCCGCGAAAGCAGGGGACAATTATGCCTGTGCATTCTTAAAATACACTGTATATGTTTTTTAAGTTAAAAAATGTCTTTCAAATTGCCAAAATCCAGAAGCTTCCGAGGGATTCCCCCGGGACCCCCATCAAAACTTTGCCATTCATTAATCCTACATGTAGCAGCCGGACCCAAGCGGCCTCAGCTAGACTCCCGCATATCAACATATCACATGTATGTTGGCTAGCTGTGCCACTGAGAATGAAAAAATCACATATATTTTTAGGGAACATATTTACGAATTGGAGTTGTTAAATCAATCAAATGTCAGTTTCTTTATTCGTACAATCGCCTTTTTTTATTTTTCATGTATTCTTACTTAGTTAGCATTCCTATCAAAGTCCTGTGGCGTGGTTTGTGAATGTAAACATACGTTCATGCCAAACACAAAATCACCCCTCAATTTTAACTCCTCCTTTTTCAAAAATGTCAAATGAGATCCAATATGGGCGACCCCTCCTTAATTGTTCCTTTCATAAACATTTATTGGTTAAAATATTACAACTGTAATAACATTTGAATATAAATCATATTATATAACAAATATATAATAAATGTATTTATACATAAACATTTGAGTTAATGGGACGTGCATGGGACATTAAAATGAGGTCATAGGCATGCAAATTAAGGTCACTTGGGACAGTTTAAGATCCTGCGGCCTTTTGGACTTTTTCTATAAATGATAAATATATTTTTTTTCTTCCGATTGGTAGATATAAAGTTAAAGGATACTTCATGAAAAAAAATTAAAATAAATAAATAAATAAATAAATAAATAAATAAATAAATAAATAAATAAATAAATAAATAAATAAATAAATAAATAAATAAATAAATAAATAAATAAATAATGTCCCATGCAGGGGTCTATATCTGGGAGGGGGTCTCCTTGTCCTCAAGCACTAATGCTCAGTCTAAAAGGTGCTCATCTCGAAATCTGAGCAAATATAGCAGATAATAACTTTTGTATATCTTTATAATTCGGGGACTAAATTTTAGCACAAAGATGTTAGTTGGTGTTGGGGACGGGAACCCAACCCCTCAAACCCGCTGCGTGCTCGGGCTCAGGATCTAGGAATTTTTTCCAGGGGGGGGGGGGGGGGGGGTCCACATTAACATATACATGTCAGACTCAGAAACCCCCCTCCAAAAAATTTAAGCTTCCCCAATTATGACTGAAAACCTATTTCGGATGGGGGAGGGGGGGGGAGTAAAAGAACATTTTCTTAAGTCTATTTCCTTCAGATACATGTGACTCATACATGTATATAGTTATGTACGATTAAAATAACTTCGGGTATATTAGCATTTGATGTCCTTAGGCAATGAATAACCAAGAAACTCTTGTTTACCAACATGGTCAGGTGCATTGTATGCATAATATCTCGAAGAAATTATATTTCCTCCAGAAAATAATTATAATTTTCCACATATTTATATCAGAAAACATTCAAAATTATGCACAAAATAACTCTAATATGGATTTGTTTATTTGTTAACAGCAGAGTGGTAAAAAGCTAGTGCAAAAATGAAAGCCAAAGTCTTACAACATATCTTGTACATGAAATAAATGCTACCGAATATTCGCACAGAACACACTAAAACAATATTCAATGATTTATATGAAAGAATAAACTAGAGATTGTAACTTTCAAAAACTTAAATGGTAGTTAAATGACCGCTGCATCCCCAGTAATAAAAAATAACCCCTTTTAAGTCCTCTATGAATGGGAAAGTTGTAGGTGTGGAAGACCCCCCCCCCCCTCAAAAAATATTCGGATAGACACAGACGGGTCATTCTATAGATGATAACTTGCAGAAAGAAGTTTTGTGAATTTTAGTTTTGAATAATCAGAATATATATCATTTAATTTCTGGAACAGGCGCTCAATGTGACAGCCTACGTCTTACAACTTAACTGAAAATCACGAAAAAGGAAAATGGACAAAATAAAATAGTAAGTAATTCTTGCTGGTGTTAAAAAAAAGAGTATTTCTTATTTCTTTTTTTTCTCTTTTTTAAAAGCAATTATAAATCAGATATTTCTCAGCTCGGACTGCCATAATTCTTTCCTAAGCTATGAATTGGGAAAGGGGGGGGGGGTTAAAAAAACCTCTTGGAATAATTTAACGTACGAGCTATCTTTAATATTTATCAATCTTTTTATCTCCAATCACAAAAGAGTGCTACAAGGGAAAGAGCGCTGCATTCCATATCTGGAAATTGTACGTACGGATTGTGCATTTGACTAGGGCATTAATTTCCAATGTCACGTAAGTAAACGTCAAGTTTGTTGATTAAACGAAAAGAGATTTTTTAAGGCTGTTCATAAATGGTATATCAATCTCCGAGCACTTTGTTTACTGTTGACAGGAAGTTCTCAAGTGTTCTAGCAGAAAAGATGTTATCAGCATGATGAATGTCCGATTAAATCACAATTACGATGATTAAAAAAAGCAAGGCAAACGAATAAATTAAAATAAAGAAGTAAATAAACTTTATTATGTTATGATAAAAAAGTAGATGTGATGTCATACAAGTTTCTTGTTTTACTGATTGGTAAAAAGATGTGCTGTATTTGTCTACTTGCTCTGTAGAAAATGCCCCGATATTTTATCATTTTCATTTTGAACCATACAAATATATCAACCAGCTTATTATATTTACATATTCAAGAAAACACATACATTCAAGAGGATAAGCCAGTCTTTATTAATTTTGAAGCACTTCTTAGTTGTTGTGTATTTATTAAAAAAAAAAAAATCATAAAAGTCCATAAATTAATAAAATACACATTTGTTGACTTTCCATAAAAATGTCATAATTATTATGATTCATTAAAAAATGTTTCAATGAATAAATCATGCATGCTTCCATCACAAGAAATTATTATGCATGTTATTGTTGAATGGCGGCAATACATGTATGTATCACCATCAGCTGAATGCAGTTGTAAAATATATTCGTTAAAGTTTGTAAAAAAAATTGTGAGTTTAAAATTAATTTTGACATGTTAGATGGAAGAAAGTTTTTTTTTCAAATATTTCTGTTTTTTCATTTACTTGATCTAAATTATATTTTTTTTTCATAATACACTAGATATAGTAATGTTTCTGGAATTGTCTGGGAAGTTCCAGTCACTAAAATCTTGCGCATTAAGTCTCCTGATTACTTATCAAGAAGCATTTTTTTTTAAAAATTCATCTTATTTATATTTGATAAGACAGTTCATTGTCCATAGAGATTGTACATTACAGACATCAAAATTCAATTCACCAACCAAAACGTTCCTGTGATTTAAAAAGACTAAGTACAAGAAGTTCAGATTATGCGTAGTTGATTTGAAGAAAAAAAAAATCACCAGTTGTTTTGTTGGGTTAAAGTGACAACTCAATTATTATCAAACTATCAAGGATTTAAAACTCCAAAATATGGAGATTAAAATACAAAAGATAAAAATAAACATTGATAAGATACTGAAAAATGCCATTTTATCATAAAATAAGCATCGATCCTTGGTAATTTTGAAAAAGCCTGGTCAATAAAGGATCTTGGAAATTGTAAGTGGTCAGGAATTAAACGAGCAATTATTTCATTTTTTATATCATCAAATATGAACCATAACCAGGGCTCTTGATGGTCTATAGTCTATTTTCTATAGTTCAAGGACCCCATTCCCTATTCGAAAAAGGTACCTTTTTTCCCAATTGAATCAGAATGTGTTAATTTTCCCAACAGTCATTTCTCAAAAAAAAAAATTGAGAAAATGTAGTTAGATATATATAATAACTAAACTTGCTATTCATATTCTTCAGTATTGCAAAACAAAAATTTAGTTGATAACAAAGACCAGATACACAGTATATCATGATTTTTAAGCATAATGGTTATCCAAAAATTTCCCTAAAGATTGCTATTTTCCCAGCCCCATTCCCAAAAAGTGGTGTGAGAGCCCTGATACTAGTAACCTAAATTATACAAATTACTCTCAGTGTAAGACTATGGAATTCCCTTGGTGACAAATAAATTTATTAACCTTGCATTGACATTGGAGTAACTGCAAGTGCATTATTAAATAATATTTAATTTTATTTATGCTGATTTTCAATAATATTGCAGGTGTTTTTGTTTTCATTTACTTTTGTTTTTGTGTATATTATGTATACAGCAGAGTTGTGGAAAACTGCCGTTCATGCCGGCAAAAAATGCGTGTGACTGGTATAAATGCCATTAATCGATGTCGGTCCAAATGACCGGCCCCTTTTTTGGTTAAGTTTTTTTTTTGTTTTTTTTCTCTTTTTATCATCAGCGCACTTCCCAGCTTAATAATCGTACCTTATATGCGATTGCGTTATACTTTTTCTTTACACAAGATCTAGGCTATAAACGAAAGGGAAACCAGCATGGTCTTGTGACTTATTAAATTTACAACCGGGGCAGAATTAGGTAGAAAACATAAAGAAACAGATAAAGACAAGCTAAATATGAAAAATTTCGACAGAAAGAATTCAAACACAGTTGGGGAAAGAGGTAAATCTAATACTTCAGACTGTCCTCAATTTCGTTTTTTCATTGATCGTGTTGATATCTTTGTTATCGATGCACAGAATTTATTCAATTTTTAGAATCATTTAATTCCCAAATGCATAAATTTTTCAAAAAAATTAACTATTATATATGCTCACCTGCCCAAATGCAGTGAAATCTAGTATTGTTATAAATGCAAAAAACGAAAACGGAAGAGGACTTGGAAATGGAGACTGAATGTTATATTATTATTAAGTAAATAGATGTGTAATGAAGTGAATAATTTTTATGCTTTTTTTTTTAATTTTGCGATTTACTATTTCGGACCAGAAAAATCACTTTGGACCGGCTTATTCTGTCTTCTTGCCAATCTGAATGACTGGCTATCTGAAAAAGTTTTCCACAACTCTGTACAGTGTTACAATTTACTGGCATATATCATGCATATTATGATATATTATCAAATAATCTTAACTCCATATTTTTTTCCTGAACACTCCAATAAACTGACAAGTTTTTAATTAAATGCAAGAAAAATGAATACAGTGTATTAAGCAGAGATCATGAACTACATGTGTCATAAATATGTATTTCTCTCTCAGTGTCTCGTCCACCTCCCCCAGTGGTAGGAAAAGTCACTCATTACAGCATTGAATTGTTCTGGAATGAAGCACTGGATAAAGCTAAGGAGGAGGTGGGAGGCAAGGAATTGGTAAAGGTGTGTCTCCAGGAACAGGACAGACACAACCAGTGGGGAAATGTCTACACGTAAGTAGCAGGTTTCAATAGAAATATATATATATATATATATATATATATATATATATATATATATATATATATATATATATATATATATATATATATATATATATATATATTAAAATTGCTTTTTGGATGCTATATAAACAGAACCATTTGCAAATGTATTAGACTTCAAGTATGAACTAACTTTATTTTTTCAATGTGACAATCTCCCTGGTACCCTAGCAACAAATCAAGTCAAACAAAACACCCCACAAATTCATTTTTATGGGTGGATGTTTACAGAAGTATGGCAGATTAGCAATCACGCATTGTCTAGATAGCATGTTCAATTCTCAAGGAAAAAAAATCACGTAACACCTTGAATGACTGATAAATCTGTTTCTATTGACATGCCACTAATGCTACTGTAAAGAAATGAATCGTAAATACAGATTTGAGGTATTAGTCAATGATGGGTTTATTTTGTATCTGTTGGAATTTATAGTGTGAATGTAGTGCTAGAGAATCATTGAGATTATAATCCTTGAAAAAGAAATTTCTCCCTCACAAGAAGCTAAATGTTACTCGATAGCCTTAGATGATTTGTTTTCTTTTTAGTTTTTCTTTCGAATGAACATTTTCAAGTTTACAGAGAGGTTTGATTTCAGAATCTTCCACAAGGTTTACAATTCACATACCAGAATCTAACAAGAATATTAATTCTGTCCTGATACTTAGACAATCAATAAATGGTATAATGGCTAATAGGTCTTTCATGTATTTTTCTGTTTGATTATTTATTCCAGTTCTGTAGGAATTTGGAAATAAGTTTTATTTTTTGATTATGAGAAACACCTTTGATCTAGTAGATTTCCAGCTGGGATCTTGTTGTTTTAAGATCAGCTGTTACTTAAGTAATGGCATTGATGGATGTCTTGGTCAATAATATTACACAATATTTGATTTTAGTATTTGATCAGTGTTGGAACATTTTCAAAGTTTTGATACTCATTTTTGATTAAGTTATTTGTTGCTAAACAATTAGAGAAACTTGACTGATAAATTGGTCTTATGATGACTCCTACAATGTATTATTTACAGAACATGATAAAAAGTAGCCCATGGGCAGCAATGCTCACCAGAGAGACATTTCTCTTCCATTCAAATAAATTTCTACATTAATGGAACCCCAAATTGTGGCTTTTGTATTAGAGTCCATGGTTTCAACTATTTTAGTCTTCAGGAAATTGATGCTTGGTACATATACCAAGTTTATAAAAAAAAAATATAGCGTTTTTGTTGTAGAGGAAGTCTGTACAGTAAAACAACCTTATAACAAATAGGCTTTTAATGAAATGACGCTTATAGCGAAGTGATTTTCATTTCCCTTGACTTTAAAACATATTGAACGCTTAATGGATATAATTCAAAACCTGTTTTGAATTATGTTTATAATGAGGCAAAATTGTCGGTCTCTGGCACTTTGTTACAAGCGTGTTTTACTGTGTATATATACATATACCAGTGTAACCTGTGTATTGCTATGGTGCCCATTCCTGACTCCAGAGTCAATGACTTACACAGACTTGAATCTACACAATATCAAGATGCTGGCAATGAGAAACTGAACTTCTGTTTAAAAGCCACTGCTATATTTTCACTTTTTCCTGATTATATCTTACTGGAATGAAGTCCTTCATTTTAAAAACATGAAACTTTTTTTACTGAAGGTTGCTTTGTGGCAAGTTGGGTTAAAATTGACTCAGTATTTCAGGATTGAGATGTTAACAGATGCAACCTGATAAAAACAATCAAAAGAGCTGCTTTTCTGAACATCTCATAAATTGAAGTTGTAAGAATCATCATTAATTTCTGTATGTATTATTTAAAGGGGATATGCTCCCTCACACGTTGTCACAGGGGCAGACCCTCAGACCACGTACAAATATAGGATCCGCTTCATGACCAACAATGAGAACAGTGAATGGAGTCCACACTTAACAGTATCTACCACAAGTAAGTCATTACCACCAGTAAGGCATTATACCCCCCGCAAACGAAGTTTAGGGGGGGGGGGGGTATATTGGAATCAGCATGTCCGTCTGTCTGTCTAGCTGTCCGTCTGTCTATAGACAAGATTTTGTCTGGACCATTTCTTGGAAACTGTTGCAAGGATTTGTCTGAAAATTTGTACACTTATTATTCGCCATATGAAGGTGTGCACCTGGTATTTTCATCATGATTGGATAATTTTTTTGCATTTTACAGGTGTTTTTTTCATTTTTTTTATGTGGTTTTGTTCCGATCTGTTCCCAGGGACTATTGCATAGATTTGTATTAAAATTTGTACACTTTTTATTTACCATATGAAGATGTGCACCTGGTATTTTCAACATTATTTGATAATTTTTTGCATTTTACAGGTTTTTTTTTTTTCTTTTTTCATTTTTATTGACTGAGTCATTTCGAGTCCATGTCTAAGATTTGAGACATAGAATCTAGAACAGCTGTACAAAAAGGTGAACTACAGCTTAAAACTACTCATTAGAACTAAAAAAAAAAACACGAAGTATTAAAAACAGTTTTTACATTACACAGCAGATAGTGTAAATCCATTTGTCCCTTGGTAGTAATGAGTGGACATGCATCCAGTTAAAGATTAATTAATGAGTTCAGTGTGGGAAGCTGTTAGGGCATCTCTGATCAAGCAGGTCTTATCTATATCTCCTGGGAATTGGTCAGAAAGAAGTAAAGATCTCTGTTGTCTAAGTCTCTTAATTGTAATTTATGTCTGTCTAAATACATAGTTAGTGGAACCAGCCTTTTATTTTTAAAATGAGTTTGATATAAAGGTACTAAGATCAATTTGATTTTGTATAATTAATTATGATTTTTTTTTTCAACAATCAATTTGCAGAGCATCATGTCTCACATAGATGACAGATAGTTGCAAACTATTTTTTCAATGTAATAAAAAACACTGTAATTATTAGTATTGATGTTTTATTAGGCTGCACCTTAGTTTCATTCATAAAAAAAATATTATGAGTAATTAAATTTTCACTCTAAAGATTAAAGCAAATTGTGAACACCTTTCACATCTAGAAAACATTAGTGATTTGGTACCTTCTCTGAAAAACCCAGCGGGGGGTATTTGTCCCTTTTGGACAGTTCTAGTTACCACTAGTAAGTCAGCACCACTAGTAAGTCAATGAGAACAGTGAATGGAGTCCACATCTAACAGTATCTACCACTAGTAAGTCATTGCCACTAGTAAGTCATTACCACTAGTAAGTCATTACCACTGGTAAGTCAGTACCATTAGTAAGTCAGTGAAAACTGAATGGAGTCCACACCTAACAGTATCTACCACTAGTAAGTCAGTACCACAAGTAAGTCAGTAAGATGATAAGAGAATTCACTTAAGAGCAACAGTGAAAAGAAAATTTCATATGAGTTACAAGTATTTTAGTACAGCATACTGTAAAACATAGTTTCAATGAACACATAATGAATTCATTCTTATAGCAAAGTGATTTTCATTTCCTTTTGGTTTTAAAACCTGTTTTGAACTTATCGGATATATAACGAATCAAAATTTGTTGTCTCTGGCACTTTGCTATAAGCATGTTTTACTGTATATGTCTCTATATATACTGTGAATACATTTTGACATACATATGCCATATATAGTTAAACTTCTGTATCTCAAATCAAATATCATGGCTATGTCAAAGTAAGTTGGAATTCCCAACCACTTTTCCTAAATGTACTTTAATCTAGATATCTCAAATACTTGGATATCTCAAAGTTTTTTCTCAGCCCAATTGATTTCAAGATAAGGTTTGACTGTAAACCAATTCAGCATGCATATCTACAATTGGTGTTGAATTCAAGGAATAGCAGCATAGACTATAATTATACATGGTATTTATGTTTGTAGAGGAACCACTCAATGGAGAGCATCTACACAGAGCCATTATTAGGGAAGATCTCATGGAAATAGAGAGAATACTGGAAACTGGGTAGGTACAGAGGGGGCAGGGTTTGTAGGAGAGGGGGGGGGGGGTGTTTGGTGTTATGGGTATAAGCAACTCATCTCTATCTCATCCCAGGTATTTCTGCTCATTCTGGTCATCTTTTTATTTTGACATCTGTAGCTACTCTTCAAACTGTACTCAAAGTACTTACTATTCTTTCCAAATTCTCCTGCATGCTAAATTGACTGTAACCATAATTGATGGTAACCTTAGTGAAAGGAATTTACAAAGAAATGGTTGTCAGCTGACTCTCGATAGTTTGCTAGCTCTCTGAATATTTACCTGTAACATTTAATTTCCAGTCCTGTATTGTCCCTTAGCTGTTTCATTTCAATCAAACTTGCTTTCTTTGTTAATAAAGTGAAATTTGAAATAATATTTACATTTAAGATTACACGAGACCCATTATAGTTCATTTTTAGTGTCCCATGACCTTGAGAAAACAAATTGGGCTTTATCTTTGAGCCTCTATTAGTTGTAGCTGGATATAAATGGCAAATCCTTAACATGGTTTGTCAGAAGATTTGATAAATTTGGTGTTCAATGAGTGATAATCTGGTATTTGTGAGAGATCAAATTTACTTAATGCACAGAGATTGATAGACAGCCCCACCTGGTCAGGGGGTTATAGATATATGTGTTCCATAAGTGTATATGTTAAACATGCCTGAAGATCTTAACTCAGGCTTTTCAATTTAATAAATAATGGATTGCATTTACAAAGTTCAAACTAAAAAAATCTTTTAAAAAAGACATGTAATGGTTGTTTGGGTTTTGAGGAGAGGGGTAAAGGTAGTGTATTAATTTCAAATTCAAGTGACTGTCACATAAAAAGTTCACACATTGAATGATTATTTTATGCTTGGTAGTTGCAATCAACAAACTTTATATGTACTATCTGTGAAAAACAGTTTGGGTATATAAATTTGGATTGCATGCACCTGCTAAGACAATTTGAAGTGCATACTCATGCAGGCTCATAAAACTCCTTCCTGGAGAGACAGTTGTAACCTGGGACCATTCCATCATGTAATCAATTTCTGAATACACATCAAAGGTTCTTCAGTACAAGTTATAAAAGCATGCCAATCATAGCAAAAGAAAAGATTTTAAATAGGTGTGTTTTATACTCAGGTTTAATATACTGGAAGTTCATTGTGATCCATTTTGCACATTTTATGATACCCCCATAAGGACAATTGAACAGCATATAGACTTTGTTGAAAATGTCAGGTCTTGACACATGCATAAAATCTTTATCATGCTTATAATGCATTGCCTTTTATATACATTTATGTGACTCAGGTGAAGAGAATATATGTTTTTTTTTATGAAAGGTACTATTTTTGTATGTTATGAAAATTTACAAATAAGAATAAACTTTCATGTTTTTATTCAAATATTAAACTCAAGTAAAATATAACTGAAGCTCTATTTTTTTTTTGCTTCGAGTTAAATGAATTTAAATAGTAAAATTATGCACGTCTTTCTGAAGTTAATTTCAGCAAAGAGATTTTGCATTTCTTTCAGAATTGGGGGCAAGTGAGTACTTTGTGCATACATATGTGCTACTTGAACTTGTTGGACATTTGAATATTGACCCTTGTGATTTGCTATGTATTTAACTGAGTGGTTGGCTAGCTGAGTTTGACAGGCTAACTCCTAACCAAGACTGATATTTTTACTTTTACAAGACAGAACAAACATTTCAATAAAACATGAACTTATGGTTTAAAATCCACAAGGTTGAATAAGTTTGAAGTGGTACCAAAAACTCAACTATCACAAGTGACCTATTAAATCACTAGCAGTTTTGTGCATTGAATGATCATTTACAAAAAGTAACACACGATCAAGTTTTAAATGGTTTGTAGTTTTGAAAGATCTGTGACTATTGTACTGTTTATTACTCATGTATATAAATGTGATTGTATGTTGATAATTAGATTTCTCTGCATTTTTTTAAAATTGGGTTCTTATAAAAGCTGAAAAAAATGTAGATTATATTATAGATTGAATTCCACGCCAGTATCTGATTTAAGTGCAGCATTAGATGATGCGGCCTAATTGATGTTTCAGACCCAATCCATATTTGATATTCAATGTAAAACATTTACTTAAAAGGATAAGTATTACTTTTCTATGGAAAATTGGATTTTTCTTTACACATGTATACCTAACAATATGGATTTTCTACAAGCAATTTGAGAGACCTATTGTAAATATATCCTTTTCCCAGGTGTGTTTAGGACCAAATTTATATAAATTCTGATGATCAATATTTAATTGAAAGATTTGACGTCATCACAGACAAAACTAATGAAAGAATTCTCTTGAGTTTTATTAAGTTACAAGTCTTTACTTTTCAGAAAACATTTTGGCACAAAAAGGCTTTTCATATAAACCTTCATGTGATCAATAAAATGTATTGAAACCTGGACTTTGTATTGAAAGACAGTAATGATTAAATTTATAAGGCATTAAATTAAAGCAAGACATGTAGGTCATACCCCTGAGAAAATGTACAAAAACATGATATCATAACCATGCATTATAATAAATTCCTTGTTATGTATCAAAGAGATTTAGTAGTTAAGAGCCATTCTCTGTAATGACTTGAACTTTTATATAGGAGCTGTGGCACGCATAGTCTCAGAATTTCTTCAAACTCTCTATGATAAAAGTCTTTGATACCTTAAACTCAAATCAGGCAAAAATTGGTTGCTACGTGTCATGGTTTCCATAGCAACACGTTCTAAAGTTTAAAAAATGGCATTTTTCAACATGTTCAGAGTCCCACAATTAACGTTTGTGGCAAAGCAAACAAGTGGTTACGATTTTTTCTGAAAGTTGAAGGTCTGGTGTCTTAAATATTTGATAAACAAGTTTGGTAAACCAGCTATTATATACGTTACTATGGAAACAAAGTATTCAGAAGTAATAATCTTGTTCATTTAATATTAAAAAGTCATACACATAATAATAAAAACAATTATAGGTTGAAAAGCAAGCAAATAATAGACAAAAGATCCTTGAAACATATGCCAAGGATGAAATATGATATTTCTTATGGGTTGGCAATGGTTGCCATGGTTTTAATACCACGAAGGGATTTTGAATTTGTTCTCTTAGTATTTCAATCTTATCCTATCTTTTTAAAAAACATATTTCTATATAACTGATGATCAATTTCTAAAGGCGTTGGTGTGACCCTAATTTTCACATTTCAAAAATTTCAAATTTAATTCTTTAAATAGAGCGTTGCTATGGAAATTAGCCGAAAAAATATGCTTAAAAATGTGAAAAATATTATGTTTCCTTGGATACGTACCCTTGTTTGTAGATTCCCAAAACTTTTATGATTGATATTTATGAATAACTAACCTGACTTTCAATTTTGACTACCACCCAATCTCTAACTGGATGCAAAAAGCTGGCACATAGGGTTTAATATTGATATAAAATTAACAAAATCGAACATTTTCACTTCTTGGTAACCATAGCAACAGTGTTGTATTTTTCAACAAACTTTATCAATATATGATATTCAACTTTAGTTCTACCAGATAAGTACTATTCAAGGTTAGTCAAATAATATGTTTCTTGATTAAAAGGTAAGTGAATTCCTAAAGCAGCAAAAAAATATCACTTTAAACAACTAGTACGTTGTTTCCATGGTTACACTGCAGAAAAACAATTAATCCCAATTTTTCTTATGTTGTTGGTGTTGCAAGGTCCTAAGGATGTATATGTGCCAGTCATGAATTTTATTGTTTTTCCTCAAGATAGTAGCATTAAACCAATCATAGCAACAGATTTTGCATTGTAACACTGTGTTACCATGGCAACCATGAAAGTTATTTTTAGAATAATATTGCCAATACCTGATTACTTAAGGTCAAATATTTTTTATTGTTTTTCTTAAGTTGTTGATTGAGTTTGATCATGTAACATCTATCATTTGTGAATATTGAGCATTTTTCAGCATTTTTCAGCATCTCAAATGTATTCCAAATGTACCCATGGTTACCACTCACTTAGAGATAAATTCTAAATAATTTCTTTATAGCATAAGTGGCAACAAGGTGTCATGTTTTTGTGAGAATGGTTTGTTTGTTTTTCTTAGTCTTTATTAAGGCTTAATAAAGATTCGAAGTAGCTGAAAATCTCAATTTTTTCAACTTTTCTGGCTGTTACCATGGCAACCAAGACACATAGCAACGGAATTTTGTTTGATATATGTTTCTGGTGTCAAGTTGTAAAAATGGGCAAAGTTTCATCAAAATCGGTGACCATGCGTGGCAAAGAAGTTTAAGTGGTTAAAGAGAATCGCTATTAAACATAACCGCAACAAGAAATCATATAAATATAATAGAAAATTATTTATGAGTTCAGTTTTTTTTATTCATAAAGATTCAATGTGTCATTATAGTCTAAATTATTGAAACAAAACCGGCTCACCAGAAAGTATAATTTAATTTTTTTTTTTTTTTTTTGAAGATTCAAATTGTCATTGCAGTTAGATAAAGGAAAGAATAAATGAATGAATTTGAGAGACTCATCATACATTCATATTTCATTGGTTACAAATACAGCTACTGATTAGAGACTGATACTGTGACACTTAAATTCACTCTCATTATGATGATCCGTGATTGGAAGCTTTTTGTCCATGGACAATAGTTTTCTTACATTGCATGACAGCTTTGAGCCCATGAAGGGTAGCTTTCGATCCGATCTGCCCATGAATGATAGTTTTTTTTTTATCCAGGAATGATACTGAAGCTTTCTGCCCAAGAATATTTTCTGCCCTTGGTTGATAGCTTTAAGCCCATGAATGATCATAGTTTTCAGACCATGAATTACAGCTTATTGCCCATAAATGATAGCTTTCCACCAACATTTGTAGCTCTCTGTAAACATGGAAATGTTTGGCTGGGGAAATTTTTTGAGAATTTGGTGATGAGTAAAATTCTGCAAGAATTTTCATCATGCAAATGGTTTCAAAAAGGTATCAAACTAATCAGCAAATCAACACGTTCTGTGATTTCTTTAAGGACAACGGACCTCATTCGAAATTTCACGCCACTGTGCAGAATACTGTGCATATGCCTTGAATCAAATTGACTTAATTATGTATTGCAAAAGAGAAAAAATATACATTTTTAATTCTTTTAAAGATATTCAAACGTTTCCTCTCAATTCAAAAATATTGTAAATACTTCGATTTATATTCATTTGTTAATTTATAAATAAATGATTTATTTGGCCAAGGTATTTTCATTGAAAATTTCCCCCAAAATATGCCCTACACCTGAGTTTGACATGCCCCCCCCCTGAAAAATCTAAGCCGATCCCATTTATTTTTTGGCATAATTTGCTGGTAAATTGTCTTCTTAACATTGTCCTTTAATATGAATAAAAATTCTATTGCAGAATTTTTTTTCAATGATCACTCTTATACCCTACACTGGCAATTTCCCATTACTTCCTATAGTAATTATTGATTTCCATTACCAACTTTTGAAACGCTCCCCATTAAAAATCTACATCGATGACCATATGATTTTTTTGTTGATTTTAACTCACCAAAAGTCACTTTGCCTCATATTAAAATTTGAATAAAAAATCTATTGCAGAAATGAATTAGGTCCGTCATCGTTAACTTCTTCAAAAATTACCCCCATGCAAATGCTTTGTTACATGGAAATTGCAAAATTTTACCCAGTAAACATGTTCATAGTATTATCTCCATGTAATCCCAAGATACAGTTGTATCATAAAAAAAAAGTTTTCATAGAATTTTTCAGAGTTCTGGATCCATTTTTAAATCACTGATTTTTTTTTTTTTTTTTTGGTTTAGTTCAAAATTAAGGACTTGAAAGTAAAGTATCTGTTTCTTTGCATTGATGTAATTTAATATTTTTATATAGAAGTTTTAGAAGAATAGTCCAGGTCTAGATGATTGAAGGTATAAGAGCTATGTTTACATATGTGTTTACTTAGTAAACTAATATAATTTTTATTTTGATAGATATTGCTTGTCATTCCCGAATTGGGAGAAAAAAAAACTATCAAAACACATACTATACCATTCCAATTTCCTATTGTTAGTAATGGAATTCTTTAGCCTGATCAATAAGATCCTTTTTATTTCTATGATTGTGTATTGAAATGTGTAATGCATTTATCAAGGCTGTTTGTTTGATGAAATCAATGCTATATCAATGTAAGGATATGTCCCAAATCAAGTTCCTCTTGTCAAATTATGGTTAACCTATAATCAGCTTGTAGATCGTTATAGAAATGATTTGGATTAGAGTATTTACACAGACAGTTTGATCTCTATTAAAAATCGTTCCTTTCTATTTACCAGTATGAAATGGACCATGTTTCTCATAGCACCACCAACTGGTTTTCCAAGTGTCCTTGTTGTAACCCAACAGGGTAGCAACTATATTTACATACATCAAATGTTTTCACACCTCAGAATGCTTTGTAGTTTTGCTTTAGAAGTTTGGGTATCAATAATTGATTTAATGGTGATAAAATTCATACCTGGTCAGGGAAAATCAATGAAGATATGAGAAAGAAAGAAAAAAAGATTGGTGTGTGTAGCAAATAATCTAAATGATTCTCTATCCATGCAGGAAATGTAATAAAACTGGGAGAACCGGTACAGGGATGAAAAATTAATTCTGGTATTCAGTGCCAAGCATATGATGGCATTTTAATGAAATATATATCTCAAAATTGTGATCATTGCATGGGGTGTTGTAGATATTGTGGAGTAAGTCATAAAGCCAGGGAAAAAATAAGCCAGGGTAGAGTGGCTGAGATTTTTAAATAAAAAAAAAACTATAAATAGATTATAAAGAAGCAGAGATAGATATAGGCAGTCAAATGATAAATATGTTTGTATCATTGTCATGGAAGAATGACATCAGCTAGTAATAGGCCTGATGGTTACCAGTTCAGTGTTTGTTTAAAGGGGAAGGAAGGATATGTTTGTGTTAACAAACATTAATTTAGCATTCCTTTTTAATACTAATTGATAAAAGAACCTTTATAATTTGTAATTAATATTGTTTGATTTAACTTAAGAGTTGGTATTTAAGACTTGGTATTTAATAGTTGCTGCAATTCTTTGAGGAGCATATATATATACTGAAACGCAAAAGAAACGCAACATCATATTTTAGAGGGGAAAATTATATAAAGGAAAAAATTTTGTATCTAAAAAGCACGGATATCTTCAACTTTGTAAGTATCGATAATTTAACGGTTGAATGATTTTCATGCCATAACCGGAAGTTAAGTTTGAGCCCCTTAATAGAAGTCAAAAATTGCATGTTTAACAAAACATTTGACAAAAATATGGAGTTTTAAGGGTTTGTATCTGTTTATCATAAGTAATGCAGCAATATTCCGCAAAATAAATTCTTCTTTCGTTTCCGGAAGAGATGCCAAGGCTTCCCGAAAATGACTTAAGTATGCATTTCAAATGCTCTAGCTGGAAAATCTGAAAATAAAGGTGATGGAGAATTGCAAATGCAAAAATGCACAACAACACGCCTCAACAGGATCATACGTATTATTAGCATGAATGATAGTCCGTGGACCGGAAGTCCAAGTGTTACTATACTGCGCTAGGTTAGAGAAAATTCGACTTCCTCATCTGAAAAACGGACATTTAAAAATGGCAAAGAATATTTTTTTCGCTCAGATCTCGAGATTGATGAACCTATTGCATCGTGGAAATCAAGCTGCAATTGTTGTGCGTGGCAGTCTTCCACGCTATAATTTAATGGCTGAGAAGGGGGGTGTTTTAACAGTCTTGTGTTACTTTCTAAAGTTAAAAGATAATCATTTAACATTGTTATCAAATCTCTGATTTTTTTAAATCGAGTTTAACTCAACTGTAATCAGTTTTGAAAATCATTAGTTAAAAGGTTCAAATATTTGTAGATTACTGCTTGTTGCGTTTCTTTTGCGTTTCAGTATATAATATATATATAGAAACAGAGAGAGAGAGTAACTCAGGGTGCAGTCATATATAGATAAATGAAATCTTTCTTGATATTATCAAGACATGATAAAGTACCTAAAATTTCTCAATCCTAGCTGTCTTGTTTTGCAGAAAGAGGAGGGGACATAACTTGTGATAAGAACATTATTTTCATTCATTTAAGTTGTTTAAAAAAAAAAAAAATCTAAAAATACTAGTTTATTGGATGGGATTCCACAGAATATGTAAATGGTAGCTCTTATTTTTTGATTTTTTATTTGCAGAGATGTACCAATTGATGTTCCTGATAAGTATGGTTTCACTGGACTTATGCAGGCTTCACAGAAAGGCTACACTGAGTATGTCATTCCATTTCATTGTATACATGTGTCTTTCTGAGTAAATCAATTTATCATAACATGGGTGGTCTAACAGACTGGTTACTTCTACCTCTATAGAAGCTAGATTGTATATCACACACGATCATAGAGGTAACAGTTATACTGCATACTATCATATAACAAATATACTGCATGTGCTAAAACAGCTAACATACTGCATATTATCGTTTCAACATTTAAGAATCAGACAATAACAGCACACAGTTTTTAAGTAACAAGCAATCAGACAGACAATAACTGGGTAGTTATTTGATAAGTGAAATAATTTTACTTGATACTTATCATATGGACAGTGAGACACTCATTGTTTTAATGCAGTTATATTACCTGCTGTCACAGCATGTAGCTGTATATATACTAACAGAAAAGTGTTGTGACAGATAACACTGGATACTAGTTACTTGGTCTGATGGAAAAGTACTTCATAATTGGTCAGAGAAATAAATACCAAATAATTCATTATATATGATTAACATATCTATTTTAGATATGGCCTATCCAGAATTATTTTATTTAGTCTCAGTGTACTACTGTACTCACTGTGTTACTGGTACTTTCTGTACTAACCAAAATTTGGCTTGAGAGATAAATTACTGGTACTTTTTAATCTGTCAGATGGATTTTAAAATTATTGATCAGAAAGATAATTACAAAGTACATTAAAATATGGTTACAGCAAACATACTTATAATGATTTTACACTTAACAGTGAAGTGATTTTTATTTCCTGTGGTTTTAAAATGTATATAAACTCATCAGATATAATGAGTTGTGTATATAATAAATGGATATTGTTTGTCCCTGGCACTTCAGTAGAAGCATGTTTTACTGTACTTATTTTATGGTCTCAAAGATGATTTTGTGATCTGACAGATAATCCCTAGAAACTTAATTATTTTATTATGCTTCCATAACAGGCAAAAAGATTATACAGGAGAAAGGTAAACATATTGGAGAGACAAAAGTATTGAAAATTTCATTGTTAAAAAAATATTGGAAAGAGACTGAATGAGGGGAAAAATTTCACACATAAAAATTGTTTCAAATAATAAATGATGTACTGAACTACATCAGTCTAAATATATGATGAGTGAAATTTTGTTTTTAGGGTCTGTGTCTTGCTTTTGGATTTTCAGAGAGCTTTTTGGTTCATGTCATGTCTTCGGTTGTGGGTATCTGATCTATGCACTAGAGTAAATTTGCAGTTTATATAAGTACTTAGATTATGTGGTCATTCACATTATAGCTTTAATAGAGAGAGTTCAAGAATGGGCTTTGGAATGTCAATGGTTATGTTTAAGATAAAGAATGCATACCTGCATTGATGTTTGCATTGCTTCAAGGTCTATATATTCATGTTAGCACATTAAATTGCAAATTGAAATTTTTTTCATAAAAAAAAAATTACGAGCAGGCATTCTATAGGTTTCACTGTCATCTTTTGTATTTTTAGTATTATGGAGATCTTGATAAAACATGGAGCAGACGTTAATGCCAAAAATGATTCAGGCAAAACAGCGTAAGTACAGTACCCGAGGAAAAAAAAGATGCTAACATACAGAAATGGAAAGGAGCATTCATTTTACAAAACAGAATTACTGTCTGAATTGAAGTTTCATCAGTTTTCACTCCAAGAGAATGAAATTGGCCGATTTATTGAAAAATTCATTGAAAATTGAATTAAGACTGAAAATTTCTCTGGGTATCTGCTGTAAACCAATGTACATATAATATTTTGGTAACTTAGATATTGGCATAATTTAAGAGTGTTTGGTGCTCAAAATGTCATTGTAAATCATAAATACTTTGATAACAAGTAACACCCGCCCCCCCCCCCCCCACAAACACACACAAACACAGAAAAAAAAATGATTAAATGTGTATTACTCATCATCCATATAAAACATGTTTAATTGCACATTTATATTTTCATTCTTTTCAACAAAATAAATTTCTGAAAATTCAACAGGTTAATGTTGGCATGTTTTGCTGGTCAGTTTGAAGCTGTGAAGCTTCTTAGGCAACATGGAGCTAAGTATGATGATTATGACCGGGGTGGATCCACACCTATCCACTGGGCAGTGGATGGGGGGAACACTCGACTCCTGGAGTGGATCATCAAAGATGGAGCGGATGTTAACTTGAGGGACCACTCTCATGGATGGACACCATTAATACGCTGTGGTAAGTGTTGAGGATGTATACCACTAATACACTGTGGTAAGTGTTGAGGATGTATACCACTTATACACTGTGGTAAGTGTTGAGGAAGTATACCACTTAAGCACTGTGGTAAGTGTTGAGGAAGTATACCACTTATACACTGTGGTAAGTGTTGAGGAAGTATACCACTAATACACTGTGGTAAGTTTTGAGGATGTATACCATTAATACACTGTGGTAAGTGTTGAGGATGTATACCGTTAATACAATGTGGTAAGTGTTGAGGATGTATACCATCAATACAATGTGGTAAGTGTTGAGGATGTACACCACTAATACACTGTGGTAAGTTTTGAGGATGTATACCACTAATACAATGTGGTAAGTGTTGAGGATGTATACCACTTATACACTATGGTGAGTGTTGAGGAATAATGCCACTAATATGTTGTGGTAAGTGTTGAGGTTGGACACCACTTATACACTGTGGTAAGTACAGTGAAACTTGTCTAATCCAGATGTTGTGTATTCCGAAATCTTGCCTGGTACATGTACAATGTGAACATGTCAATGAATTCAATCGTTAAAAATGTCTAATCTTGAATGTTATTTAATCTGGCCAATTTCTCTGGAACAAGTGATGTCCAGATTAGAAAAGTTTTACTGTGGTGAGGATGGACACTCCTTATACACTGTGGTACATGTAGATATTGAGGAAAGATACCACTTATACACTGTGGAAAACAGTGATGGACACCACTAGCACACTGTGGCAATTGTGGAGAATGGATATCACTTATATACTGTTGTAAGTAGTGATGAATACCACTTATAATTTATTACCCAAAAAACAATAAGGGAGTTACTGAGTTTTCATCTTTTATTAATCTAATGCTAGAACTTGCCTATAGGACTCATGCAGCTAGGTAATCTAACACACAGTGATCTAAGTATTTATCAGCAGCATCGAAAAAGAAGACTCAAGTTATGACTTAAACAAGATAGAACTTACTCTGTGGAATTGGATAAACAACAGGCTGAGAGCAAGTGAAAGTTGCCTATATGAAACATACTCACTAGCACCTGATACATGAAGGCTGAGGGCAAAGAATGCTTGCCTATATGAGCTATGTCCACTTTCATGAAACATGCTCACTAGCACCTGATACATAAAGGTTGAGGGCAATGCAAGTTTGCCTATATGAGCTATGTCCACTAGCACCTGTGTAAGGAGCAGAGTAATCCTACCTGAGTAGAGCAATGCTTGCCCAGGATGCAATATTTGATAATTGTCATAATAGGAGTACTCAACAATGATGCTGAATGATAAACATATAATATCCCATGCTTGGGAGAAATCGAATGGTAAACATACCATGAAGTATGCTGTGGTAAGTAGTATACACAGAGGTAAATAGTGATGAACACCACTTTTACACTGTGGTAAGTAGTGATGGACACCACGTATATGTTGTGGTAAGTATTGGTAGTGGTGGATTCCACTTGCTGTGGCAAGTATTGAGGATGGAGGCCACTTATATGTGGTGGTAAGGAGTAATAGACACCACCTCCTGTGCTAAGTGTTAAGGATGGGCACCACTTAGTGTTGAGGATGTACAGCACTTATACACTGTGGTGAATGTTGACAATGGACACTAGTTATGCGCTGTGGTTTGTATTCAGGATGTACACCACTTGGACACAATATACACTATGGTAAGTGTAGAGAATAGACACCACTGATACACTGTGGTGAGTTTTGAGAATGGTCACCACTTATACACTATGGTAAATGTTGAGGCCTTGACTGTTTGGTTTCTTTGTTAAACTCAAACTTTAGGATAAATAATCATAAACATTGATTTTTAATTGTTTAGTTTTCTAAAAAATAAATCCTGTACTGCCAAGCAGATAATATTTGTAGGATTTTTAGTTTTTAGGTCACCTGAGTCACTCAGGTGACCTATTGCTATCTGTTTTTGTCTGTCGTCATTCGTCGTCAATCGGTCGTAAACTTTTGAACATTTTTAGCTTCTTCTCTGGAACCACTGAACCAATTTCAACCAATTTTGGCATATAGCATCTATGGGTGAAGGGGAGTAAAAATTGTGAAATTCATGGCCCCTGCCTCCCTGGGACCTGAGGGGTGGGGCTAAAAACATCAAAATTAATGCAATCTTTAAAAATCTTCTTCTTTACTCCTGGACATCAAGCAGTCAAACTGTTGGCATGATTGTAATAAGCATTGAGCCCTCTACCAAAATTGTGAAATTCATGGCCCCAGGGTCAGGGGTTCTGGTGCTAGGGTGGGGCTCTAATGATTATATAGTGAAAATGCATTAATTCTTTAAAAGTCTTCTCCTCTGCTCCTGGGTATTAAGCTGATGAATAAAGTACATAGTTATGATGAGCAAGAGTGCCTCTTCCAAAATTGTGAATTTCATGGCCCCAGGGTCAGGGGTTCTGGTGTTAGGGCGGGGCTCCAATGAATATATAGTGAAAATGCATTAATTCTTTGAAAATCTTCTCCTCTGCTCCTGGGTATTAAGCCGATGAATTAAGTACATAGTTATGAAGAGCAAGAGTGCCTCTTCCAAAATTGTGAATTTCATGGCCCCTGGGTCAGGGGTTCTGGTGTTGGGGCAGAGCTTTAATGAATATATAGTGAAAATGCATTAATTCTTTAAAAATCTTCTCCTCTGCTCCTGGGTATTAAGCTGATGAATTAAGTACATAGTTATGATGAGCAAGAGTGCCTCTTCCAAAATTGTGAAATTTATGGCCCCAGGGTCAGGGGTTCTGGTGTTAGGGCGGGGCTCTAATGATTATAAAGTGAAAATGCATTAATTCTTTGAAAATCTTCTCCTCTGCTCCTGGGTATTAAGCCGATAAATTAAGTACATAGTTATGAAGAGCAAGAGTGCCTCTTCCAAAATTATGAATTTCATGGCCCCTGGGTCAGGGGTTCTGGTGTTAGGGCGGGGCTCTAATGAATATATAGTGAAAATGCATTAATTCTTTAAAAATCTTCTCCTCTGCTCCTGGGTATTAAGCTGATGAATTAAGTACATAGTTATGATGAGCAAGAGTGCCTCTTCCAAAATTGTGAATTTCATGGCCCCTGGGTCAGGGGTTCTGGTGTTAGGGCGGGGCTCTGATGATTATATAGTGAAAATGCATTAATTCTTTGAAAATCTTCTCCTCTGCTCCTGGGTATTAAGCCGATGAATTAAGTACATAGTTATGATGAGCAAGAGTGTCTCTTCCGAAATTGTGAATTTCATGGCCCCTCTTGGTGAGGGGTTCCATGTGGGGGGGGGGGGGGGGGGCTTTTTTTCTATATACTGAAAATAATGCTTTGAAAATCTTCTCTGCTTCTGGGTATTGAGCTGATGAACCAAGTACATAGTTATGATGAGCAAGAGTGCCTCTTCCAAAATTGTGAATTTCATGGCCCCTTGGTCAGGGGTTCCATGTTGGGGGGGGGGACTTATTTATTATATACTGAAAATGCATTAATGCTTTGAAAATCTTCTCCTCTGCCCCTTGGTATTAATTAAACAAACTAAATACATAGTTATGATGAGAAAGGATGCTTCTTCCAAAATTTTGAATTTCATGACCCCTGGGTCAGGGGTTCTTGAGCTTGGGTGGGGTTCTATTGATTAATTAATAGCAAAATGCATTAATGCTTTGAAAAACTTCTCCTCTGCCCCTGAGTACTAAGCAAACAAGCTAAATGCAATAATATCAATGTAAATACATGTATTAAATTTAATTATAAGTAAATGTGCCTTTTCTTTGCTTGTGGGTATCTAGGAGGCAGAGTACACAATTGTGATGTGAAGCAAATGAGAGTTACTCCCCTTTGCTAAATATTGTTAATCAAGAAATCCTTGTATATAATTTAATTAACAGGTTATTTGATTGAATGAGAATACAATAAAAATGAATGTTTGGTTTAAATGAGTAAAGTGTGTTCAAAGTCAGATTCTTGCCTGGAAAGCAGTATAAAAGATTGACATAAAGATTATTTATATATTTAGCAAAAGGTGTAATTGTACACAGTATGTATACTCTGTGGTGATCTAAGTTAGTGTCACTTGTATCTAGGAGTTGTGGTTGACAGGAGACTGGATGTTGTTTTATACTTTATCAAAGTGAACAAAGAATCACAGAGAGCCAGAGTGACTTACTGTAATTAGTGACAAGTGGCAAATAACCACATTGTATATACCCAAGTCTGTGTGTACTGAATTGTAGCACTAGGCAAGTGACAAAAAATATCTGTATATATTGAATACCTTACACAATAGGCAAGTGTTCTTTGTATTTGTATATTTTGCATTCATTATCATCCCTGTAAGACTTAAAAAATATTATGTGAGATTTGCCTTACTTATAGATAACATTTGTCGAGGTGAGCTTCGTAATCTTTGATTACCTATGTTTGAAATTCTTGGGCAATATTGCTTCGTCTATCAGTTAATTTTGTTTTATACTTCCATGGATCCTTTAGTGTTGTATTATACTCAGGTGACCGTTAAGGCCCTTGGGCCTCTTGTTTTTGTTGAGTTTACTTGTAAGAAAATCCTTATTTGTATAACGGTATATACACATATGCAATATGTATATGTAATACGTATATGCAATAAGTAAGTCAGATTTGAATAAATGTTTGGCAAAAACTCTCCTTACATTGAGTTAAGTCAACAGTTACTAATCTTTTTCCATCTTCAGGTGTTTTTGTAACTTTGATTTGTGTTAACTTATGTTGAAGATCATTGTTAAGACTTCATGTCTGATTTAGTTCACAAGATTTCCACATCTTTTTGATCACTGGTTTTGTGAGGTGAGGTAAATATTCTTTGTTAATGATATTTTTAGCCTCAGTGAATGGTAACCGCAGTGTGGCTTTGACCCTGCTGGTAGCAGGTGCTAACATCAATATTCAGGATAAGGATGGGAAGACAGCTCTAATGGTAGCTATAATCAATGGTCACCAAGATCTGGTGGAATTACTGCTACAAAAGGGTGCAGATATCACTGTCCAAAATCTGGTACATGTAATTCACATATTTGCCTGTACACATTTTTTTCATATAGCTGTTCCATATTAAAAGTAAATGTATTATATTGATTGCAGATTTTTATTGACTGACTGAGTGGAAAATATTGTCCTTATTGCTAGCAGAAAAATGTTGCACGCAGCACAAAGCAATCAAATATCTTGATACCATTACAAGTAGTGAAAGGGATAGTACTAAAACTCATTGTTTTGAACCCAGTTGTTTTTGAAATGATGAATTGAACTCTCCCATACCAGGAAGTGCAGTCTTGTTATTTTAATTTCTACTACAAGTGGGCCTTGTACTTATTTGGAGGTACTTTACATAAGAGATGTCTTAATTTTTTAATTGAATTTTTATATTATTATCTTTTGTAGTATGGTAAAACTGCCTATGAGATGGCTCACTCCATGGAAAGAAGGGTAGGTTAATAATATCACAAACCCTCAGATATTCTTTGATAAGTGCAGTTCATTTCAAGGTAAATGCCAGCTCAGGATCAAATTGGCTTTCCTTTATATTCTTATCAGGCCATTTTCAATTAATTTGTTCAATCAATTTGTCCTGTGTTGTCCATTATCCTAAATTAATTTGCTAACAAAATCCCAGCTCTTTGGGGGTATTCTCATCCTAGGTGTTATTGGAAATGTTCTGAAGAATCTTTTGTCATGGTTCGTAATCATCACTGCCCATAGACAAGAGGAAATTCATTCGAAATTTTACCAGAAATCAATGACTGATTTTTCTGCCTTTATATCTGTCTTTTGTAGAAAATTGCACGAACACTTGAAGATTATGTACAAAGCAAAGGCATAAAGGTCAAAGGAGCCATTCTGGCCTGATAGGATCAAAGGGGCAACAACTCTCAGCACAATACACTATGTTAAAACACCAAACAGGAAATTCATTGAGGGATTAGGAGATCAAAGTGTTTGTTTGTTATAGCATTAGATTACACATAGATGTGATACTCAAACACTTGTTCAGACATTGGAAAAGATTTTGAAATGATTGTCCAGTATATACTTCAATAATAAGTTTGTTGACATTATGTTTAATTCTGTGATATGTTTGTGTAAATTGTCTTGCTTTTTCTCTCTCAAAAAAAAACCAACACATTATCTGTAATTGTGAGAGGGCTTATTCAACACAAATTAGAACATTTAAACCAAGTTTATTCTGTTACAAAATGCTTAAACATATTTTATTGGATGTACTTCCCTACCTGCTTGTTTTTTTTCCATCAGGTCTCTTAGGCAATATGCAAGTATAGCTTTAATTTAATTCACTAATTACACAAGATGTCATTACCTAAATATGCAAGATTCATCCTAGAAAATGATGCAATTTATGTATGTATAATTAAATATAACTTCGTATTATTTATGCTGTTATTGCTGTTTATTATAAACATTTTCAAGGTTTACATTATGCATTCCATTGGACACAAAATGTTTTGTCATCTTTCATTGATCACTCTTAAGTCTATATTGTATGTCTACAGTTGGTTTTATTTTTATAACACTTATGCCATGATACATGTTATTTTAAAATATTTTTTAATTTACACCTTACACCAAAATGTTGGCAATATTTAAGGTCCGTCCATGTTACGTTCTTTCATAGTTTACTTAACTATATGGTATCTCAGAAATATTGGATACCTCTGTAAAATTTTCAAAATAAATCATACTTTTTTTAAGTATTCCAACACCTGTGAATTAGATACATGTTTTTGGATTCCTAAATCAAAAGATCTCAGGCCTTCAAGTGTGTGATGATAAAACTGCTTTATATTTCAAGGGAATGTTATATAGCCTGTGTTATGTGAATCAGATCTGTAGAGGTCAGATACCCTCCAAGTCATCCAAGTGCTTTATACAAGGGAATATTACAAAGATTGTTATGTGAACCAGATCTATAGAGGTCAGATGTCATTCCAAGGTCTTCATATTTTCTTGTCATTTATTTCTGTTATTAGAGATAATATCAGAGAAAAATCTTTATAATCTATATGTTACTTGTGAAATGTTCAATAAATTAGACTAAGGTTCTTGTTTTTGCTTTGTTTCAAAATATGAATAGTATTACAAGAAATTATATATTTTGGGGGTTAATTGGGCACCGTGATCATGATGCAGTTTTACACGAGTCAAAATCTGTATACTGTCTCGAGTTTTATTATACAAAAAAAATGAACATTGAAATGTTATTAAAAGGTTATT